CCAGGCAGGCGCTTGTACCACTGAGCTATATCCCTGGCCCTTCTTGCTTCTACTGTCAAAATGCAAACGTTTCTGATTACATCGAGAACCCACTCACCCAGGCGCTGGCTGCATCTCTGCGGACTCGCCTCTTCCTGATCTGCCGCAGCGGGGAGCTCGTGTGCAGCCCAGCAGCTGTGCGTGCAAGTTCCAGACGCAAAGCCCTGTCGCAGTCTGTGTCATTTCCCGGGGTGCCCTGGTGGCCACCATTCCGCATCCTGCAGCGCTTGTCTCTGCTGCCCCTCCTCACCCTAAAACAATCTTGTTGTGTTTTTGACCCACTGCCCTTGGTTAGAGGGCCGTTTTGAAGTTTCCACTTGGCTTTGTCTGTGGAATCCTTCTGTACACTCGGACCAGGGAAACGCCCATCAGGCTGGGTGGAACTGATGGGACCTCAGCCAGGACAGCGGGGGTGGCCTGGCCTCTACTATACCAGGGGCTCAGGATGGCACTTCCGTTGTCAGGTACCAGTGGCGACTCAGATCCTGTGTCAGTAATCCTCCAAGATCGGCCGGGAATGGTGGTGCACGCCCGCAATCCCAGCACTTGGGAGGCAGAGGCAGGAGGATCACTGTGAGTTCAAGGCCAGCCCAGGCTACATGGTGAGGCTAGTCTGAACAGAATAGTGAGACCTTGTCAGAAAAAAAAAAGAAAAGAATTCCTCCAAGAGTCTCCGACTGTACAGTCCCTGAGCAAAGGTCCTGCAGAGGGCGGGGGACCCTCACGTACAACCTTGCCATGGGGCTGCAAGATTCTTCTAGGGTCTCAACTACCTCCTCGGTTGGATTTGTTCCTGAAAACTGACTCACGTCTGGGAACTTAACAAGGGTCAGAACTTTTCACTGAGACAACAGAACTCGGGTTGATGACCCACGTTAAGCACATCGCTGTGTGGCAAGGACGGCCCAACCGCCCCAAGCCCGGAGGGTTCCGAGGGCTTCGAGTCAGCCGCCCAAAGATCCGCCTGGAAAGCGGGTCCTGTGTTTTTCCTAGCGGATCTGCTGTGCTGAGCACTTACAGCCTCTGAGCAGGGCAGCGGGTGGGCCAGCGGGAGGGCAGTTGCCTGACATGAGGTCCTGGGTTCGTCCCGGCGCCAGCGGAACAAACTCAGCGCGGGCTGGCGGGGCGGCTCCGCGGTAGCGTGTGCCCGGCCCGCGAGGCGCTTCGGCTCAGGCCCCAGCACCGGGACAGCTTCCAGCTGCCGCTCAGCGGCTCCGGCCCGCAGCGGATACGCCCGCCTCGCGGCGCCAGACCCTCTGCTCTCAGTTCGCGGAGTCGCCTACCTGCCCTCGGTAGGGCGTCAGGGGAGCTTGGCAGGAATCGCAGGCCCCGCCCGCCCGCCCGCCTGTGCGCTCCTCCCCCGGGACACTGTCCTTGGTGGCCACCATGAAATCGCTAGCAGCTCAGCAACCCCTTGGGCCAGAGACTGTCCATGCCGTGCGTACCTGCCAGGGTGACATCTCGAGGGAGCCGGTCCCAAATCCCTCTGGTACAAACAAAAACAAAAACAAAGGGCTGGGGATATAGCTCAGTGGTACAGGGGCCTGCCTGGCAAGAGCAACGTCCTGAGTTCGATTCCCGGTACAAAAAACAAAACAAAACAAAAACCAAATCCCTCCGGGAGCCTGGGTCATTTGTGCTGGTCTGGGCCCTCTATGTCGCAGTCACCACCTGGGTCAGAGGGGCCAGTGATCCTTTAGGGGACCGTGGGCAAAAGTGAGGGGCTGGGGAGGCCAGAAGAGGGGCAGATGGGGGGCAGGCTGGCGTCGTGCTGAGCTAAGCACAGGTGGTGAGGCGGAGGCCTTTCGTCTCAAGGCCGTCTCAGGGTGGCCTGGCAGGTGTCCCCACTCTGCTGTCACCTGCTGGGGATGTCTGTGGAAGCCATGTCAGCCTCTGTCCCCTGCACAACAGCAGATGGATATGACAGCTCCTGTCCTCACTGTGTGTTTTTTTTTTTTTTTTTGTCTTTTTTGAGACAGGGTCTCGCTATGTAGTTCAAGCTGGTCTTGAGCTCACTTGTAGCCCAGGCTGGTGTTGAACTCGCAGCGATCCTCCTGCCTCAGCCTCCCGAGTGCTGGGATTACAGGCATGCATCATTGCATCTTGATGACTAATGACTGAAACATCTTTTAATACCCATTAGCCATTTCCCATCTCTTATCATTATGCGCTAGATCTAACTGCCCCCCCAGCTCCTGTGTTCAGAAGTTTTTGGGTCTAGGAGTCTGTGACATTACCAGAGAGATAATCCCCGTGCAGATGCCGGTGCCAGGCGCCCCTGGGAGGTACTGGAGATTTAGCCTGCAGCGCTAGCTAGGAGTGGCTGCGGGGTGTGGCCTCAGGGACTCTGTCTTCCCGGCCCCTCCTGTCCCGTGCTCCTCCTGGGTCCTGGCTGCCGTGAGCTGAGCCGCCTTCCCCTGCTATCCTCCTGCCTCACCTCAGCCCTCAGCCGTGACACCAACTGGGCATGGAGGAAACCTCTGAAACGGACATTTCCCCTTTGACTTCCCCAAGTGCTGTGTCACAGTGGTGCAGAGCTTACATGCTAGTTTCCCTTATTTTTGTAGACTTTATGTTTGCTCGTTGTTGTACATCGTGTTTGTGACCTTCCTTCTTATTTTTTCTGAGACAGAGTCTCATTATGTAGCCCAGGCTGGCCTTGAACTTGGGCATCCCTCCTGCCTCAGCCTCCCAAGTGCTGGGATTACAGGTATGCACTACCATGACCTGCTGCAGTTTTTACTAACTTCTATGGTGGAATATAATTTTTTTAAAAAATTGTGGGTTTTTTTGGTGTGGGGAATCGAACACCGGACCTTGTACTTGCCAGGCAGGTGCTTATGCCTGCTGAGCTATATGCCCAGTCCAACCGCAGTGGTTTTATAATCCTGGTTCTTTCTGGGTTTGTAGTATGTCTCTAGTTTTTTTGTCTTTCCTTTTTTCAGTAACACAGTTGGCTTCACAAAGGCCTTTTACACTTGGTGCTAGGTGTGACTCTGTTTGATAAGCATGGTATTATTCTGCTACTGTGAGGGGAATTTGAAATACATTCATAGATCAGTTAGTGGGGGCGGGGCAGGGAAGAGGCAGCAGCGTCCGGGAGCCGCTGAGCTGTGCGTCCCTGGGAAGGAGAGGGCTCCGCCTGCTTCGCTCGCCAGAGAAGCGGTGAGTGCGTGAGGTGGGCGCGCCGGCCGACTTAGACCTGTGAGTGTAGGTATTGGAACGCCATATGGTGCCCATAAATATGTCCAGTTTTTAATTGGCTATTAGTGTGGCTAGGTGTGTTTACTTCTTATACTTTATGAAGCTTTTTCATTTATTCCAAGAGCTGGGCAACTGATTCACTTAGGTGTGCCCCGGAGATGGTCAAGCCGGCGGAAGATGTTTTCTCTCTTCCACTGCCAGTACTGACACTTCCTTTCTGTGGGTTCTTCACTGACGTTGGTTAAAGGACGGACATTTCTCTTAATTTATTATAATGTGGATTAGTCGTGTTTTTCCTCTAACCTCTTAACGTTGCTATCAGCACAGAGATTTTTCTCATCTCTTTCTCATTTTTAGTATCTCTTACAATTCCAGGACACATCTCCAGCTGCTGTCCAGCCTGCACTGGAGGTTGCAGAGCTGGTCCTTTTGAGGCTGACATCTGCATGACTGTTGAGAATGGCTGTGGACTGATCTGGTAGTAACTGTAGTACAAGTACAGTGCCTAAAACCAAGGCTGTGAACTAGTCTGGTGCTCTCACGGCTTGTGTCTAGGCGTTCCCCCCCAAAGCCTTATGTGCTCAGATGTGCACATGTGTTTCTGAGGTGGCTGGATCCAGGGTCTAATACAGATTCAGCGTGTGTTACGGTTTGTGTCCTCATGTCCCCCCAAACCCTCACGCAGACACGGTGTGGGCTTCCAGAGTTTACGACTGGTCCATGATCCAATGCCGGGATTATGGGTGTGAGTGCTACCCCGCTCTGGGCGGACAGTTTGCACACAGTGTAAGGGAGGGAAAGAGGCTTGTCCCCCCCGCCCCATTTTGCTCTTGCTGCTTTTGCTGTTTTTCCACCACCACACACTGTTGCCCCTCGGAGCCAGCCGGGCCTGGACTGACACCTCCACAGACTGTGAGCTAAATAAACCTTTCCTTCCTTAATTTCGGGTGTCAGGTATTTTGTCTCAGCACCGAGAAAAGTAACCAAGACAGTGTGTGAGAAGTAAATGAGCCCTCTGACTGCTTCGGCGTGGCTCTGGGAGAGGACGATGGGGCGGCCCGCCCTGGGTTTGAGCGGCACTAACCAACAGGCCCGCGGCCTGGATGAGACAAGGAAGGCTCTGTGCTGCGCCTGCTGCCTGCTGCCGGCCCTGCCGCGGGCTGTTTCCCTGCCGTGCTGACCCCGGCGTGCTGCCTCGCCTTAGAGCCAGCTGACTGTGGGCTGACACCGCCACACATTGTGAGCTAAACAAACCTTTCCTCCTTTAACTTGTGGGTGTCAGGTATTTTGTCTCCGCAACAAGAGAAGTAAGACATGGGATATACAGCTGTCATAACTAGTGACATTTCACATGCTAATAACTGTTTGTGGAGATCTGGAAATGGGAAGCAGAGCAGAATGCTGCGGGGCCCCGTCATCCAGTCATACGACACTGGGAGTCAGCGGGACAGACTTAACCTGCGTTTGTCACTCACCTGCTACGTAATCTTAAACAGGGTAGACTTATTTCTTGGCTTCAAACTGGCAATCTATAAAATGGTTTACTGGGGGCTGGAGGTCAGCCTGGTGGTGGCAGAGGGTGCACCGAGTATGCACAAGGCCTGGATTCAATCTCCACCCCCGCAAAAAAGTTTTTTTTGAGGATGAAATGTTAAAGGTGTCACGAACAGTGCCGACTACCATATCAAAAGAAATTCTTAAATGTAAGGTATTTTTAATTTAAATGCAATTATGAAAGAAGATACAATATAAACACATTAAAATCTCTAAAGCCATGTAAAACCCGAAGGCATTAAAATTTATTAAATGATGCAATAACAACAGAATTCTTTATTTACAATAGCATTATTTAACATCAAATAAGCAAATAGCATCAGCAAAGCAATATTAACTTGCATAAATGTCTTTAAAATTTCTCTGAATATATCTACCTTTGCATAAACTGCTCACACTAGAAATACAAACATCAATGCAGGTGAACAAAGTGATGTTGAGTCAACTCTGTTTTGAAAATAAATCACAACCTGAAACACTGTAAGCTTTCTCCTGAAGAACCATAGTTAATATATTGCTTAATTTTACCCTTGTATAATCTTTTCATATACACACATCTCAGATGCAACTTTATGAGTAACTGTACAAATAAAACCCACAAATGACAAAGGAAAAAATGACAGTTAAATGTTTGAAGAAATGTATCATCGTCGCTCTGCAGTAACATAAAGGTTCAGCGACGATGCACTTATTCAAAAATTGTACACAATTCACTATACAAATATAATACATCGGACAGCTATGTAGGAATATACAAGACTTAAAAACAGATCTAAGGCATTATGCTAGATTTTAGCATTTTGAGGTTCTTGCACATAGCTTTTACCTGTAGTAAGAAACTTAAAAGACTTAGTTTTCGTCTATAAAGAAACACCAGGGAGAAAATTCTAATTAAAATCGAAGCCACTACAGTAATTTTCTTTTGTGCAGAGAATGCTTTGCTCTTAGGCAGCATACTACCATACAAACACTAGAAAATTTTAAATTCACACCAACAATTAATGGCTTAAGTTGCATTTCAAAATTGATTGTGTATCTTTGGGTTCTGCAAGTGGATCTGTGCCACCCAGTTCATGTGTTAAGCCCATATGAACTCCATTTTTAAACACAGATTAAAAATTGCATTATATAAATTGCAAAAACATTGCTTTCAATTATTCAGGCCGTATGAGATACACGTCGGGAGAGGGGCTTTTTAATCTTTGCGTCAAACGAATTCATTGTAGTAAAACAGCTCACTTCACTTTTAAACTTACCACATTACATGAACACTTAATGGGTTTAACAACCAAGTTAATGTATGTATACTTTTCACATTATGTTTTTCACATTTAGTAATATAAGTAAAACACTGATTAATTGTTCTATCAACAAAAACCAAGTACTCAGTCTAACAAATTTATTGTGTACAGCATGAGAAATACTGATAATGAAGGGAATTGATTTGGCTTTTGCTTCGATAGCGATCAATATGATCAGAGGATTCCTTCACTTATTTTCTTCTCCTAATTAGCTGTAAAACAAAACCCACTACCTGATCTGAACCGTCCGAGAACTTCTCATCCGCCTCCTTAGAGCCGCAGGTCACGCGTTACTCCGCACCGCGGGTCCCACGGCCCTGCGGCCGCCCGGCCGGACTCCGCG